CAAGCCTGGGTGTCTCATGCTGGGAAAGAAAAGGAAAAGGAGCCATGTTGGCTCAGACTTGAAATTTGGGATCTTGGAGAGGTGTGAGTTTGGGGCTCTTGTCTGCCAGCTAGGGAAGGGATCTTTTTCCAGGGTGGCTTGGAGGTTTTTTTGAAAGCACCTCGTTTGCAGTAGCCTCTAAAGAGCCCCTCGTGGGTGTCTCCTGGAAGGACACAGGTGGAGGGGCTGAGCTGTGCCACCAGCCATGTGTGGCTGCTGGGGAAGGAGGGTGGTGGCCAGGAAATGGAGGCTGCTCAAATCCCCCTCTCCCAGCCTTGGTACTACCCCAGCCTCAACCTCTGGCTCCTCTCTTTAGTCACTACCTACATCTTCTGGGTAGCTGTTTATTCTGATTTGGAAATGGCAGCAGGCCTACGTGTGTGATGAGTTGTTTGGGGGTTTTTTGGTTGTTTTCTGGAGGAGCCTGTTGGAAACGTGCTGTGTAGAACGTTTGCAAGGTATTAGATCTCTCCTCTAGCAAGCTTCTCATTGTAAATGTGCCTCTGTTGTGACCCTTTGGGTTTTACCTCCACGCAGGGCTCCTGTCACAAAGCAGATTTTTCTCTTCTGTGCCTTAGCAAGCAAAGATTGAACAGCAAAACCCTGCTAGAGGTTCCTGTTTGTCATTCCCTGGAGGAGCTGCTGTATCTGGGGCAGCAGGAAGCTGTGCTTTAGAGACGTTGGTTTGGGTACCAGCCCCTGCAAAGTCCCTGCCTCCAGGAATGTGTCTAGAGCTGCAGGGAAAAAGAACAGCCCAGAAGGTGCAAAACTTTAACATTTGTGCTGCTGGAAGCCTGACAAGTCAAAGTTGCAGGGGTGTGCAGAGGACTGGGGATTCAGATATAACAGGATTCCACTAACAGTAAGTGTTTTCATCTCAAATAAATGACCACTGCTTGCTGCACGGGTACCACTCCATTTTGTCTTCTCATTTCTTGATACCCTTTTGCATCCTGATCCTTCCTGGCAGGAGACCAAAGCATTAATTACCTGGTTCTGTGTTTTTGGCTTTCAGGCTCTTAGTCCTGGGGTGCACACACCTCAGTCTGGGTGTAAGGGAGAAACAGAGGGCTGGGGACAGAGCACGAGTGTGTTCCTTAGAGTGATGTCACCATTCCAGAGCTGAGGGACAATCAGCTGAGCCACACAGGGTGAGCCTCTGGGTGGAGGGCTGAGTGCCAGGAGGGGTTTCCCCAGGTTGTGTGTGGCAGTGCTGCCTTCCTGGCCTTGTCCAGCGTGCTCTGGGCAGGCTCTTGTTAGTATTTCACAGCAGGAGGGTTTAATATCAGCTTCCTTTACTTGGTGTTGTGTGGGATCTCAGTTCAGAAGGGTGGTGCAGCGACGTGCTGAAGTGGCAGGCCAGGCATGGCACCGCAGGGGACGGGTGGGG